TGAAACATGGTTTAAAGAAGATAGTTTGCAATTATACTCGTTACCACACTACAATGTTGTTCACAGTTGTAGAAGTGATGGATATGGTGGAGTTTCGGTGTATGTTCGTGAATGGTTTAAATTTTCCATTCGCTTTTTAAGCAGCGGGGACTTTGTAAACCTTATTCATATTCAGTTACTTAATCTCAAGGTGTGTGGAAAAATGTGTGAAATCATATCATTCTATAGATCTCCAAAATGTAGTGTGAGTATCTTTTTGGATATTTTAGAGGAGAGGTTGTGTTTCATGGGAGAAGTTCCATCTATTGTCCTGGGGGACTCAAATATTGATATTAATGGAAGTACGGTTTCTGTTGATATGTTAAATCTGTTTCATTCGTACGATTTTGAATCTTGTCACAATTTGGTCACTAGACCTATAAGTGGTACAAGTATTGATAATGTGTTTTCGAATATGCACAATGCATTGACAGTGGAGGCTGTGGAGTGGATGTTAAGTGATCATAATTTAATATTTTGTAGGATGAAGTCGAATTATAAAATGACAGAATCGTATGTAAAGGAATATATATATTTAAATTATAATAACATTAAACGCAATTTGGAGGAAAATATCAATGAACCGCATGAAAATGAAAATCCTTCAATCATGACAGCAAATCTAATTGATACTATAAAAAATGCTGTAAAGTCAAATGCGACGGTTTCAAAATCCTATAGGAAAAATAAATATGATCTAGCGCCTTGGATAAATAATAACTTGTGGTCCTTGATGGAAGAGAAGCAACGGTTATTGCAAATGAGGAGGAAGTCAAGAAGGGATTCAGGCATTAATGAAAGATTAAAAAGGGTCTGTCGTATTATAAGAAAAGCTCAACGAATATGTACGAACAACTTTTTTGAAAATAATTTAGGGAGAAATGCTGGTGATCCAAAGAAGTGCTGGGGATTTTTAAATGATGTGTTGGGAAGGTCCCGTAAACAAACAGTTGTTTTAACTGGTAATGATGGTTTGCCTATTGATGACGACAAAGTAAAATGTCAATTATTAAATAACAACTTTTTGGACTCTGTAAATGTTTTAAAAGATAGCATACCTAGGAACGTGGCGACCATTGGAATCAATTACGATCATTGAGGAGATACACATCCCGGTTTGAATTTCAAAGAGTTACTATTACCTATGTTGAGGATATTATTAATAATATGAGGAAAGTGAAGTGTCCCGGTGAGGATGGCATAACGTTTGAACTTTTGACAAAAGTGTCTGAAATTTTAATACCATATATAGCAAATATTTTTAATGTCATGATAACAACAGGAATATATCCTGATATCTTAAAACTCCATAAGGTGGTACCGATACCAAAGATTCCTCGAGCAACGTCAGCAGAACATTACAGACCTATAGCGCTTCTGTCTTCAATAGATAAGATTTTTGAAAGGATAATGCATACACAATTACTGCAATTTTTCCAAAATCAAAGGTTAATTTATGAAACGCAGTATGCATATATGAAGGGAGGGGGCACTGATGAAGCTATTTTAAGGGCTGTAAATAATATATGTCAGGGTTTGGATGCTGGGATTTTTGGTGTAGCGGGAATATTCTACGATTTTAGCAGAGCTTTTGATCTTGTAGAACAAGATATTTTATTAGGAAAATTGGAATATTATGGTGTGAGAGGCAAGGACAATGACTTATTGAGAAGTTTTTTGTATGGAAGGAGGCAGTTTGTGCAAATATGCGAAGCAAAAAGTTCTATCTCGAATGTGAATTATGGTGTTCCCCAAGGTAGTATTTTAGGGCCACTTTTATTTATTATTCACCTAAATGACATAAATAATCTCGAACTCGAAGGGTCTATTGTAATGTTTGCGGATGACATATCATTATTCTATCCTTATAAATATGAAACTTTATTAAAAATTAGGATGGAAAGAGATTCTGCCGCGATATTCGAATTTGCTAGACTTAATGGTCTTAGGTTGAACCCAATTAAAACCAAATTTCTGCGCTTTCGTCCTTTCTCTCTTTCTCTAAATAATGAATTTGGTATTTTTGTAAATGGAGAGTTTATAAGTGAAAGTCACAGTATAATGTACTTAGGAGTTAAACTAAAAAGTAATCTTAAATGGGATGATCATATAGAATACGTAAAGTCGAAGGTGTACACTGCCATTGGCATATTATATAAGTTTAAAAGAAAGCTGAAGGAAAAAACTAAACTTATGATTTATCAAGCATTAATCCATAGTCATCTTGAATATGTTGCCATTGTATATGCCCATAAGGTAACAAATGAACTTAAATCTCTACAAGCTGCGCAGAATAAAGCACTTAAATGTGTATATAATCTTAACACAAGACACAATACTATTTCGCTTTATCGAGATTATGCTAAAACAATATTGCCGATTCGTGGGATATACAAAAAACAACTGTTAGTATATGTTTACAAAGCAACGCATAATATTGGGAACAGATCCATATCTATATCTTATAGCACAAATGTTTTCAACACAAGAAACTCCACAAATTTGAGAATTGCAAGATGTCGCCTTGAGACTACAAGGCAGAGAATTGACTACTCCGGCTGCGTTGAATATAATTTGTTACCAGAGTTTGTAAGAAACAGTTTATCTTTGTCAATTTTTAAAATAAGGCTCAGACAGTTTCTACTATCCAACGTAGAAATGCTTCTATAATTATTCTATACTATAATTTAATTATAATTATATATATATATATATTTTTACTTTTATAAATGAATAGTTTTGTTAAAAATAACTTTTCATATATTGTTGCCAACTAGCTCCAAATTGCCTTATTAGGCGCGGAGCGATATTTCTATTGTAATTATAAAAATGATAAATAAATAAATGAATTAAAAAAAAAAAAAAAACTATAGCCCGAATTTAGACCTAGCCCAGTGTGGAGGTTCCAGAAGGAGTGGACCGAGAATTAAATTTGGAAGAAATAATAAGGAGGGTTAAGTTTGGATGAAATCTAAATTTTTTGAAACGGAATTGGTCCAAAAGAAACGTGGGGTCTAGAACCAATATTTCGATAATGCACATTTGCACTGTATTAAAGTGTATACACTCTGAGGGTATAATTATCCATTAAAAATTCTGAAATTTGTATTATGGTTTACATAATTCGTTTTTAGAAATGTCGGTATATGTCCACTTTTTGGTATGTTCCCTATATTTTCATTTCTAGTACCTGTCAGTATATATATGGTGGATGGTATCCCAAGTTCGGCCCGGCCAAACTTAACGCTTTTTCACTTTTTTAAATAATGTCTTATGTTACTAGCTTTTTTAATCAAAGCCTTATGACATTTCTTTGTTTTTAAATCAGCCCCTTTTGGTCATAAAATGAAAATAACAATCAACGGCTTATGGTTTTAGATTTTCTTTTAATGCACGCTTTACTCTACCCTTTACCTTGAGAAACCTTTACGCGTTTGAAAATCTGTTATATTTTTGTAAACATTCCTCTCCTAAGGATATACTCCACGTAGACTGATTTAAGTTTGATAATATATATATATATATATATATATATTGTTAATATATTTCGTCTTCTTATCCTTACTTTTTCTATAATATAAACCCTTCTATGTCTCTATCTCTTTTAGATTCCAAAAATCATTCTTCCCAATTGAAGAAATTTGTTTGGACCAAAGAATGACACCATGCTTGATTTTCAATCAAACTGTCTTCTGCTGAGCCTAACAACAATACATTACATACGTCCAGACCTCATTACCCACTATTGCAACGACGAAAAATATTCAAATTTTTCGAAAGCATTAGAAAATCAGCAACAAAAATCCAATCTCTCAAAATTATATGCTCACTTGATATCAAAACGTTCCACTAGGATATCAAATAACTACTCACGTGAAAATACCATGTTTAACTACGCTGAGGCACCAGTGACACCAAAACCACATCACAATGACCAATGGTTGAAAATACCACGACCAACAACAGACTTGTATCAACAAACACTTTTCCACACAAACTATTCGCAACCACAGAAACAAAAACATCAGCAACAACAACTGCTACCACAACTACTACAGCGACGACGACAACAACGAACAACACGCGATAAACAATTCAAAATGGTAGCGGATGACAATGTTCAGCAGCAAATTTTTAACACTCAACTGAACAACGCTAATAATGTGGGAACAACAACAACGACTACAACATCGAATGCAACATTCCCATCGTCATATACCATTACACCGGTCATTTCACAAATTCTTGCAACCCCAATGAAAACATCAGCAACAGCTGCCAGTAATGCCATTACCTCAACACGGTCCCCCTACATGTTGTTAACAACGTCAGCAGTAACAGCTGTAACCTCAACATTGGTCAATAGCAGCAGGGTGGGCAGTGGTGCAGCCATGATTGCATCAGCAGCAGCATCACTACCACCGACGACACCAGCTTCTTCTTCCTACCCGCTAAACATCAGCTATGCAATGACCTCGTCCAGTACATCGTCGTCATCATCATCAACACCCACAACTATGTTACCCTCAACAGGATCTGTGTTCTTTGAAGGTGATCTCCTGCCCACGGTATTTGTCAGTGGCAATGGCAATGGAAACAGCAGGAATAACACAACCAGCGTAACGGGTATGATGGAGGACGATGATAATTTGAATTCGTTCTATTTTTATGAGGTAAGTTTTTGCGGGGGATAATCTTTAAGAAGAATTTGTTTTTAAATTAAAATGGAAAATAAATTTAGATTGCAGTTGTAAGCGTTGCAGTAGAAAAGGAACAATATTTAGCTATGTGTTTGCGGTGACATTAAAAATAGCGATTTTATACTTCAGAAAAAATGTTTATTTTAATTTGTGGTAAAACGTGATCATATTCATATGGCATAGGACATCGCAACGTATGATTACCGTAAACATGTATAATACGCCATGGTGAACAAAATAAGATTTTTTATGAACTATAGAAAAATTATGGAAAATACATGAAAACTCTATTTGAATCGATAGTAAATAATTTCGTATTTGAAGATTTTTTCATGTAAATGTTGACTGCGACTGCACCTCAAATTCTCCATCCGCTTAGCATAATTTTTGGCATACTCTCATAAAGGGGAACTACGGCAAGTGAAATTCGACCCTTAATTCCAAATTTCAACGATTTCCAAAGATAAGCTCAATGGATGAATTTTTAAGGGAAACTCAGCATAGTTGCCCCCTATGGCCCTATATCATCCAGAGCTACAAACATTTGCAGGAACGATAAAAAGCCCTAAATTGATATCTTTAGTAGAAACATTTGACCCATTCGAAAGCTATAAAATAAAATAGTGTCAGTCGGTGGATTTAGAGAAGTCCAACTGTGTATTTGCTGAAATCACGATAGCGACCACAATATTTACGATAGCGCTTCGAAATTTTGCACAGGCATAGCACCTTCTTTTTCATACACGGGTTCTAACCGAATTACAGGATGAGATAAAAAAACTGCAACAAAGTCAAACGCCATAATTTTTATTTTGTTTTTTTTTTAATTTGTTTTTAAATTTATTGAATAAGAGCAAAAAATGTCGGAAATAGGATCAAATTTTAGAATATGTTTAGATTTATTCGAATTGGGCACCTTTGGCACGAAGTATGGCCTTCAACCGGCCAATGAAACCGTCACACCTTGCCCGAATGTTGCTCTGCGGTATTTTGGTCCATTCCCTGCGAAGCGCTTGCCAACCTTGTTTTCCAAAATACTCCAGAAACAACAGTCTAACGGATTGGTATCCGGCGATTTTTGTGGCCATTGTGCGCTGTAAATGAAGCGAGGAACATCATTTTGTAACCATTTTTGGGTGGCGCGTACGAGCGGAGAGCGACCATCGGCTGTTATGGCGGCCCACACCATCACCATGGCCGGCGCTTGAGTTCTGATGGCCAACCGAAGGTGCACATTTTCAGCTGACCTCTTTGGCAAGTAAACACGATCATTTCGTTTGTTACAAATTGTTGGATAATGGATGTTTTCACATCGGAGAAAACCTAAATCGGCAGTTCAACACTTTCGGCCAAGCGAAGCAACTCTTTAGCTCTTTTGAGTCTATTTTCTTTCTGTTGCGGTGTAACAGCTTGTTTTTGTAAAATTATAAACGAACGAATTCGAGTGACTTACGACCAAACTCCTTGGTTTTGAAAAATATGTCATTTATTTTTGTTTTGAATCAAGAAACATTTTGTTACATAAATAAAGGTTTGGTAGTAATTCGTTCGAATTGTTTCGTTTCGAATTTTACAAAAACAGGCTGTAAGTTCTTACTCTTTTTGGAATTTCAATGGCTTTACCCCGAGCTCATTTTTCCATATTTCACGAGCCATTTTTCACCCACGGCGATTCGGGTTTCGAACAAGTCGCTTCTTTGCTTTTCAAACCATTTCTGCTGATGTTGCTGTTTTCTTCCGTCCACATTCTTGATTTCACATTTAAGTGCTTGTGGTTTTCCAGCCAAATATAAGGAAATTACACTATACGATTGAATTCCATCACGAATTACTTTTTTTCTGGAAAATTCTCACCAAAATGCTTTCGTACGCTTGTAACAAAATAATGAGCTGTCACTGGAATAATTTTAACAGCTATTGGAGTGGCTTAGACAGCAGTCTGAAGTTGGTTGCAGTTTTTTCATCTCGCCCTGTATATATTTTTTGTCCTACTGAGTTTCAAATCGTCTTACAAAAACATTCATCCACCACATATGAATATCGTTCCTCCTTTAGGCATAATCTCCATATAACGGTACCATTTTAGACGAATTTTCCAACCGAAGGATCTATGATTTTTGTATTCCGGATCTTTGGATGGTAGATCTAGGCAGAAGTTTTGATTTATTTACAGTGAGTGTAATAAGTATTTTGCCTCAAGACAAATTTGACATATTTCTAATATATACGCCTAAAGCCAGCATACTAAAGATGTAAAATGAATTATGTCTGATGGGATATGTTTGTGGACATATTTAGATCTTATTTCTGCAAGAATCACTGCGAAAGACCTGTTGGTCTAGAAGATATCGGCCAAAATCTATACCAACCCAAAAATGATTATCACAAAAAAGTATTTTGCTTTTTATTATTATTTTTGAAAAACTCATTATAGAACATACGCTTTGTCTTTTTATAGTTACCATTGCGGGTAACCACACAATAAAAGCGATTTGGCGATGATTCCAATAAACCACGGCATTTTTTCTCGAATACTTTCTCACATTTACGTTCAATACATTCTCCAGGAATATTTCATTTAATATTTGGCAATTTCTCGTCCTAATCTCAAAATGAGAGTAGTAACTATAGTCGTCGCGGCTTCAAAACATCCCAAATAAGTTTAGAATAATAAAAAGGAGGTTTTGTAAAATATATCGCGAGGACAGGACCTTATAAACTATTAAAACCGAAATCCGACAAACAAATTATTTAAAAAAAATTCGCGAAACCCAAATTTTCTGACCAATATGGACCAATAATATTGATCTAGGAACCAATATATGCAACGGAAATACCAATAAGGGGGTCAGATTCAAAGATATGAACAGTTCAAAAGCAATAGTAATAAAAAACAATACATGAAGTTGGGAGAAAACATCATTATTCGTCAAATCCTTTTGTCTTTTGAAAAACTGTGGTTGCTGGTGGCGAATACGCATTCTGTATTTTATCTCCGATTAACACCATCAGTTTCGAATAAAATGCAGCAGTGAATAAACTGGTCGATCTATTTATTTTCGAAATAAGATGTATTTATATTGCCACAAAACCGTTCATATCTTTGAATCTGACCTCATCATTGCTATTTTCATCGCATATATTGGTTCCTAGATCAATATTAATGGACCATAAAGTTTTCAAAGTCAGAAAAATGGCGTTTCACGATATTTGTTTAAATAATTTGTTTGTCGGATTTTGGTTTTAATAGTTTTTAAGGTCCTGTCCTCGCGATATATTTTGCAAAGCCTCCTTTTTATTATTCTAACCTTATTTGGGATGTTTTGAAGCCGCGACGACTATATTTAATACTCTCACTTTGAGATTAGGACGAGAAATTACCAAATATTAAATAAAATATTGCTGGAAAATGTATTGAACGTAAATGTGAGAAAATATTCGCGAAAAAATGCCGTGGTTTATAGGAATCATCGCCAAATCGCTTTTATTATGTGGTTACACGCAATGGTAACTATAAAAAGACAGAGCGTATGTTCTATAACGATTTTTTCAAAAATAATAATAACAAGTAAGGAAAGTAGTAAAGTCGGACGGGGCCGACTATATGATACCCTTCACCATTATGGGTATATTAAACAGGACTATAACATAAAATTGGATGAAAAAAAATGTGATATTTATCTAAATGTGAATCTACCTAGATCTATCCATAAAGTATGTCAATCGACTTCAAACAAATATAAATAGGTCATCCGTTGGGCTATGTCTGTGCTTCTAGAAAACGCAACTACGTAATTCTATGCTCAATTTTATAAGTTGTGCAAAATTTGATGTCAATCTGACTAACATGAGGAGTTTGATGCCCAATTTACTTGAAATCGGGCGAAAATATATATGGAAGCTCTATCCAAATATTGAGCGATTTCAAGCCAACTTGTCACAGGTTAGGTTATACTAATTTCAGAAAGTTTTGTTCCTATTGGTTCCTTAGTACGTCAATTAAAATCAATCTATAATAAAATGGAGCTATATCTAAATCTGGACCGATTTTCACGAAATTTGGCAGACATCATTCTAGGCTCAATTAAGTACGTTATGCCAAAATTCGTGCAAATCGAAAGATATTTAGATTTGGTGGACCATTTACATCAAATCGGACGAAACTATATATGGGAACTATATGTAAATCTGGACCGATTTTCTCCAAACTTGGCAGACATTACTCTAGGCTTAATTCAGTACGTTTTGCCAAATTTCGTGCAAATCAAAAGATATATTGGGACTTTGGGCACCATTTACATGAAATCGGACCAAACTATATATGGGAGCTATATCTAAATCTGGACCGATTTTCACGAAACTTGGCAGACATCATTCTAGACCTAAATGATTAGGCTGTACCAAATTTCGTGCAAATCGAAATATATATAAGGACTTTGGGGCACCATTTACATGAAATCGGACAAAACTATATATGGGAGCTATATCTAAATCTGGACCGATTTTCACGAAACTCGGCAGACATTATTCTAGACCTAAATGATTAGGCTGTACCAAATTTCGTCCAAATCGAAAGATATATAGGGACCCAATTTTAATAGGGTTCGTCCTTGGGCCGAATAAGTGACCTTTGCCAAATTTCATCCAATTCGGATCATAAATGCGACCTGTACTTTGTTTACAATTTAACATGGACAGACAGACAGACGGACGGACGGACATGCATAAATCGACTCAGAAAGTGATTCTATGCATATTCTCAAAAGGAACCATGTGTCTATCTCGTTTCCTTTTGCCTGTTACAAACATATGCACAAAGACATAATACCCTGTACCACAGTGTGGTGAAGGGTATAAAAAGCAAAATACTTTTTTGTGATAATCATTTTTGGGTTGGTATAGATTTTGGCCGATATCTTCTAGACCAGGTCTTTCGCAGTGATTCTTGCAGAAATAAGATCTAAATATGTCCA